AGTCTTTAGTAAGTCGGCGAAATTTCAAGTGACGGTATATTTCATTTTGACTCTGTAATGGTCAAAACATTGGTACAGTGGCCAGTAAATTAATATAGAGGTGAAAAGTCGGAAGTCAATTGTATTTACCGATAGTTGTGTAAAGGTAATTATAAAGGTTCAACTTTTTGTCTATCACGAGATCTGATTACAAAGGAAAAGGAAGTACATGAATGTCAGATAGAGACAAATTTGACGCGAACGCAGTTTCAATTCGATTGTACAATTTTAAGTGCAACGACAATAGGCCGTACGTAACAAAGTTTTTCAAAGGGGACATAAAAATGCTTGACAATCAGAACTCCCTCCTGAAACTGCCAAAGCTAGAAATCCTATTTCGTGGATGGGGATGTCTTTCTCTAACTTTCCAATTTTATAATGCAATCATATGGGAGACTTCGACTGTACATCAACAAAAAAGGGGGAGCTTTGGGTGTAAATTTCTATACTAGATTTCGATTAAAAGACTATTCTGAAAAAAAAATGCCCTTCACCGGTACTATGGACAAGACAATCTCTGTATAAAATTAATTTGGTTTGTTGAATGAAGTAAATCATACTAAAATATTTTCTTTAAAAATACGATAAATCATAAAACGTTATATAAAAAAGAATATCAAACGTTGAAATCACCATCCTACTAATACTTATCCATGTGTTATTAAACATTAAAGAAATTAAGATATTGATATTAAAGACAAAATGTAGTATCGATTAATTTGGTGCTCAGGGAGATCTGAATATCAATAAATTAATTCATTAATGAGAAGAAGATTGGGAACAAGTATTAATTCTATCTGTGAAATATCAGACAAGCATGCACAGGCTAGTAAACTCAGTGAATGTATATAGATAAAAAGGAATTTCATAGAAAGAAACTCAAAAATTGGCATATTTACAATTTTACAAGGTGTGGTTATACATTAATCTTTAACAAAAGGCCCATGGGCCACCTTGCTCACCTGAGCACTAGCTAGGAAAAAGCAGAAATCAGTTCAGTATTAAAAACTTTCAATATAATATGAGTGGTCCCCCCAACCCCAAACCCCCCGCGGGGGGCATGATTTGGAAAACTTGAGTCTACACTAACTGAGAATGCTTCAAAATTCCTTTTGATATATCATGTCTTTGGAAGATTTCAAAAGATATTTTTTTCCTTTAAGTTTGATCTTCTCTTGTGGCCCAACCCTACCCCCGGGTGCCATAATTTGAATAAACTTTAATCTACACTACCTGAGGATGTTTCTGTATTAACATGATAAATCGTGGCTTTGCTGGTTTGAGAAGATTTTAATGATTTCCCCTATACAATGTATATTCTACATGTATATAAATTTGATACCCTGTTGTGACTCCTTCCTACCACCGGAGGTCATGATTTGAATCTACAATACCCGATGATGCTTCTATATTAATGTAACCAATCATGACTTTGCTGTTTTTGAGAAGAAGACTTTTCAAAGATTTTACTTATATATTCCTATGTCTAACTTTGATCCCCGGTTTTGGCCCCACCCTACACCCAGGGTCATAATGTGAACTAACTTAAATCTAGAATACTTGAAGATGTTTCTATTTAATATGACTAATCACGGATTTGGTGTTCTTGAGAAGATTTTTAAATCAGTTATTATTATTTACAAATAATAATATCCTTTATGTGACAGAGTTGAAGAATCTGTATTTGATTTATTTGTTATAATTTATTTTTGATGTGACATGATTGTATTTTGGTAATTGTATTTGTATTTGGTGTTTACAAACTATTTATCTCGGGATCAATTGTCTAATTTTAATCTATGACACGATTGTCTAAATTTACAGGCAACAGGCGTGGCTTCTCCCAATCAAGTGACTTTGTTATTTATTTACCAAAGGAGAAAGCCACGCCAAATTGCGAGGGAAAATTTTGTTGAAAAGACCCTCCATCCATCCATCCCCTTTCTTCCACCGTTTTCTTATTATTGTTATACATGTATTAGTGTTCATATTTTGCATTCATTTTGTTTTATCCCAGCCTTTTTTGATGGCAGACATATCAGTGCCTGATATATGGAATGTTTAACTTTAGGGGGTCAGTTCTTGCATAATATGATGCCAAAGATTTTTGTGTTCTTCAGAAGTTTTTTCTAGTCTCTTCTGACCCCCTAACTATGTGTATTTTTGTTTTGTGTCGTTTACTTGAATAAATGACATTTTTTTCACTTTCAATACTGCTGTTATTTTCTCTTAATCCACCAAAAAAAAAAAAACTAGCTCAGTTGACTTGGCTTCGGACTTGTAGGAATAACAAAGGAACATAAAGATATTTCTTATATTTTCCCATGTATAAATTTTGTCCCTTTTCGTGGCCCAATCCTAACCCAGGGTGTCATGATTTGAACAAACTCGAATCTACACTACACCGGGGATGGAAGAGGTTATGATTTGAACAAACTTTAAATACATACATGTACAACCCCCTTGTTTATTCAAAAATTCAAAATATTTCATATATATGTTAATCATGCAAGAAATTAGTTAATACATGTACTAAATACAATTATGCGCAATTTTAGTATCACTTGCATGCGAAAATTGCAATTAAACGAGAAGTTACTGAAAATATTCATGGGTGCTTTAATAAATATAATTGAATAAAATGTTTACTAGCTACATGTACGGTGTTGAGAATTTAATGTTTTATTTTCAAAACTTTAAAGATTCCCCGAACATTCTTATTTTCGGCATCTTCTGAAATCAAATACATGTACCTGTGAAATAGTGCATATACAAGAAAAAAAAAAGTGAAAAACAAATGAAACAAAGAAACCCAAAATATCAAAATAAAATAATAAACTCATAATTACAAATAAAATTATATAAAATTTATTTATCAAAAAGTTATTTATACGTTTATTTGACGTCATGAATGAAGAAACACGTACTTAATTAATTTACAATGGATGTTAAGATATCGGAAAGGTTCAGCTATAATGGGAAAAACTGAAAGAGGACAAAGAATGCCGGAGTAATCCTTGTTGTATTGATGTAGAACTAATTATTTGTTGATCCATGTTGAATTCCCAGAAAAATACGATACCTTATAAAGATAAAAGATTTAATATACTAATTACATTCTAATTCATTAAAACTGCAGCCTTTAAAGGGAAAATGATAACTTATTGATCTCCTTTGTATATCAAGTAGATTAAAGACTGTAAGACATACATTCGTATTAAAAATTTGATTTTCATCTCTTGAATATATTTTTGATCTGCGAATCAAGAGAGATCCGAGGCTAGCTGTTTTAATAAGATTTTTCATAGTTTTTATCATAACAATAGTCTTGCTCGCCGGCTGAAGATCAGTGGTGTATTGATTAAACTCAAGGTCTTTTTTAAAAACTTCTGCAAAATCAAAATCAATCCACGACGTCATGGCGACGTATGTTTGTTGTTAAGGCAAAAATCTGTAAACCCTCGTAAGAAACATGTGTCTGTTTTATAGTTGTGTTTCCCCCTGATAATTGTGATATAGTGTAACTAAATCAACACTGTGCAAAAAATAAAAAATGGGCCAGTATTAAGGATATGACTTAGTTTCATATCTCAGTATTAATTAACTTTTAGAACAAAACAAGTCGAACTCAAGGAAAATACTAAGTATATATGTAAGTAATTATTTAATCCTTTAAATGGAGAAATCAATCCTAGTTTATGTTTTTATACTTTGTATGATGCAAAGCATAACATTAACTAAGATGCCCATCTTTTTTTTGGTACCCACATAGTAGTCTTTCCACTGATTTTATTTAAAAGAAAAAAGATTTTGTTGTAACGGTTACTTTTCTTTTTCCTTTGGAATAACAGCCACGACAGATAGATCGAGAGCCTTCGTCAGTAGAGAATTAATTCACCACAAGCGAGTTTCCCCAAAATAAACAAGAGGCCCAAGGACCAAAACGCTCACCTGAATCACTTTGGCCTTGCTGTTCTGTTCTTCAGCAGCAGATTTTTTTTTTTTAAATGGCCCTCTTTAATTTCATAAAAAATATTGACTCCATATTGTGCCTCAAAATCGAGCCCTAAGGAATCTCTGATTTGATTTAAGTTGAATCCTCACAACATCGGGATGATTCAATACCAATACTACATGTATAAGTTCTTGAGAAGACTTTTTTCTGTACACACACACAGTTTTGATCCATTTTAAATCCGCATAAAAAATACTTAAAATATCCTCTAATCGTGATGAATGGTTTTTTTTTTATATGATCAAAATGTTATAAATATATTTTACGTTTGAATTCAGATATCTTGGAAAACTTAATGACACATTTTCAATAAAAATGCGAATGTTACAGGACAAGATATCAGCGAATTTCTTTCTTTTCCTTTATCGTCCTTGACAACAGTTTAAGTTTTGATCCATTTTAAATCCGCATAAATGTCAGACATTATGATCATAACTTTAAAATTAGGAAAAAGTTATACTTACCGAACTTTGTGTATCATATGGTTTAAGCTTGTGACATGTACCTATGTATAGGATTGACTTAAAATAAGTCAAAAGTCTCCTCTAAAATTAAGTCTATAAAGACAGTAAATTAATGTTTGTTAACCAAAGAGAACTGTATTCGACCTCGGTAGAATTTAGATACTGTGATATTCCAAAGACGAAATTTTGTTAAAAAACTAAACAGTTAAACCCTTTTCTTCATCCTTCAATTAATATTTAATACCCATTTCCATATCAGTTTTCATTTATCTTGGTATCTGACATTACAAGCGTCCGATATGTATATACATGTATGTATGAGAAATAGTCATTTCATTAGCTCAAAGTCATTGTATCATACATAAATATTCATAAGCAGCGATTTTTTCCTGATGCAGCTACATTTCTTTGAATTAACTGGGACAGTTTTTGAATCGGGCTCATCATACAACATTTTTCTTACTTTCATTTTAACAATTTCACCGAAACGATATGGCAACTGTAAACCAAGAAGAAGAAACTTTTGAGTTGGCAATGTGTTCTATATGCATGGGACAATACAAATTACCAAAATGTTTACCGTGTTCACACACTTTTTGCCAAAATTGTTTATCAACTCATATTAAGTCGTCATGTTCCAGCTGTGATTCACCCCTTGGATTTTCTTGCCCTCTCTGTCGCGTCTTCATACCTGCACCAGGTAGAATTGGTCAGTATTCTTGTAATGATTGGGCTGTCAGATTCCCTGAGAACAAATTCATTGCTGCGATTGCTGGAAACTATTCGAGTTTGAAGGCCATTCCATGTAGTCCTTGTAACGAAGATGGGGAGGAGGCGAAAGCGAATAGCTGGTGTAAGGACTGTTCCGAGGCGCTATGCAATGAATGTGTTACATGTCATAAAAAATCACGCCCCTCCCGTCACCATGAGGTAATTTTACTGACTGATATGTCCAAGACAATGTCTGTTATGCATGAATATCCTGCGTTAGATCTAGAAAACTGCGGGAATCACAATGGTCGAAGGTTGGAATTGTTTTGTGAAACCCATCTTGTTCCGTGTTGTTCCATCTGTGTAACAAAAGAACATGCTGGCTGTTGGAGTTTCTGTCAGATCGAGGAACTGTCCGATAAACTCACAAATTTGGAATCTGCAAAGGTTAAAAATTTGCAATATGATGTAGAGGAATTATGTTCCTCTTTCGAAAGAATAATAAAAGAAGAAAAATCTAATATTGATGAGATTGATGATATATCTGACAAATTTACAAAAGAAATTTCACAGATGTCCTCGACACTCATTGAAGCTGTTAAATGTCTGGAAGAAACTCACTTAACTGAACTCGCAAAGGCATCCAAAGAATCTAAATCAAAGCTTCGAAAATCCCTGGATTCATTTGAGCAGAGGCTACTTTTACTTCAATATTGGAAAGAGTTGTTGCAGAAGAATTTGTTACCTGACGAATCATCAAAAACAAAGTTGGCTTTGTCATATTGCAGAATGAAACAAATTCATGAACATTTGACAAAACTGGACAATGAAAAGTTAAATATTCATATAGAGACCAAATTACCTGATAATGTTCGAAACCTTCTCGATTCTTGTCAACTTGCTGAAATATCTGTACGCGAATATAAAACATTCGTACGGCAAGATCTTTACAATGTAAAAAATGTTATGGTAAAAAAGATCTCTGAATTTGAGATTCCTGGTGCTAAGTTTCATGGTGGAATATTTCATAATGATGACCAATTATTATTAGCAGACATGAAAAAGTGTGTTCTGTGTAATACTAATGGTGTTGTTTTGAGAGAGATATCTTTACCAGGATCCCCGTGGGATGTGTGTTCCAACGGTGAAAAAGAAGTACTTGTATCACTTCCTCAAGAAAAAAGAATCGTCAAACTAATGTCGGACTCGTTTGAAGTTAAGGAAACTGTAGATCTTGGTTGTCACTGTTATGGAATATCGATGCATGGAGCCACGATTGCAGTTGGTGCTCGTGATTCTGTAGAAGTATTTCAAAACTTTGCAAAAGTCACTTCTTTTAACGATTTTCGTAGCACTGATGATGTGGAAATAGACACTGAGAACAATGTAATTTACGCAAGCTACTCACATGACACAGTCATTAAACAAGACATGGAAGGGAACATCTTGTTCACATATGAAAACAAGGAATTAAAACGTCCATATGGCTTAACGGTAGATGGAATTGGAAACATTTATGTAAATGGAAGCAGTAGCAACAATATTCATATATTGTCTAGAAGTGGTGAGAACATAAGAATTCTAGAAGGGGTGGAAAAGCCAAGGTGTATAAAATTCCAGGAAGGTACCAACAGATTTTTTGTTGGTGAAAGTGGAGGCAAAGTGAAGATATTTGAATTAACTGCTTAAATGATCTTTAAAAAAGCATTTGTATAATAATATTGAATATTGTAGTAAACTGTTCAATTCATTCTGACAGACATGTACCATTCAAGTTTGATTAGATGCTGAGCAGACCAAAATAAAACACATTTTCGTGTCATATGTAATGTTTACCTTGTGGATTAAGCCTTGTGAATTAAATATGATTTATAAGAAAACTTGTTATCTTAACAAAGAAACTGCATTTTACTTATAGTCTTTGTTTTTTGTTAGATTATATTATGTTTCAGGATTCTCTATTGCATAATTCAGTTAAACTTTTAGATTTATTTATCTCTACAGCTAAGGAAATGTGATGATTTATCGATCTCCTTTGTAAGGCGTTCATTCAAATTAAAACTGTAAGACATACATTTATATTAAAAATTGATTTTCATCTCTTGAATGAATTTTGATCTGCAATTCAAAAGAGATCCGAGACTAGCTATTTAAACAAGATATTTCGTAGTTTTTATTATAACAAAGTTTTGTTCGCCGGCTGAAGATCAGTGATGTATTGATTATACTTAATCCTTGATCTTTCTTCAAACTTCCTCAAAACCTATCCACGACGTCATAACAACGTTTGTTTGACTTATAATGGAACCTAGTTTTTGTATTTACTACTGTAGTTTTTCAATAATAGGAATCATTGGGAACTGTATTTTCAAAATCAAGTTCTCATTGGGATACAACTTATTGGACAGTGCCATATCAAGTCATCCAGCCAGAATTTACTAGTAACCTGTACCTGTCCAAAATCTTAACAAGGGAAGCATTCGACATTAGTGGAAAGTTTAAAATCAAATATAATCCTTTTAAAAACTGATCATTATGCCATATATTAACACCACTCGATAAAACAGCGTGGGATTGGATTAGGAACTATTCACAGAAATAAAATATAGGCAAATGATTCATTATACCAATCAGTGTGAAATAAATAATAAAGGATGAATTTATGAAATTTAATATCGGTGCCACGGATAATTCCTGTGATACTCTAAGTTCAAGGTGGATTATTTATGCCAATTTCATTTGAAGTATCTTGTTAAATTGTAAATATTTATTCACGCTACTTATTTCCTACGAAAGCCGGATAGGCTCATTTTTGACAAGACAAAAAAATATTTAACTCGTTATAACGAGATAATTATCTCGTAATAACGAGTTAGTATCTCGTTATAACGAGTTAGTATCTCGTTATAACAAGTTAATATCTCGTTATAACGAGTTAGTTATCTCGTTATAACGAGTTAGTATCTCGTTATAACGAGTTAGTTATCTCGTTATAACAAGTTAGTTATCTCGTTATAACGAGTAAGTTATCTCGTTATAACAAGAAAATTATCTCATATAACGAGTTAGTTAACTCGTTATAACGAGTTAGTGATCTCGTTATAACGAGTTAGTTATGTCGTTATAACAAGTTAGTATTTCGTTATAACGAGTTAGTATCTCGTTATAACGAGTTAGTTATCTCGTTATAACGAGAAAATTATTTCGTTATAACGAGTTAGTTATCTTGTTATAAAGAGTTAGTTATCTCGTTATAACGAGTTAGTTATCTCTTTATAACGAGTTAGTATATCGTTATAACGAGTTATTTATCTCGTTATAACGAGATAATTATCTCGTTATAACGAGTTAGTTATCTCGTTATAACGAGATAATTATCTCGTTATAACGAGATAAAAATTGATCTAGAATTGATATATCTAAGTAAAGAATAGACCATTATTTATAGGAAATATACAGAAGCAAGTCGATCAAATTTGTTTGAAGTGTGCGTGATAAAGATTCTATGGAACAGCATACTAGTTTTTTTTTGTTATGCCTTTGATTAGTATTGTTTATTGGAAAGACCGAAGACAAATATACGGAAACTTGTGACCGCCTCATGTTGTTGTGTTATACCTTAAAATTGCAAAATAGAATTAGTTTCATCTTCAAATGGAATGTATATAACATCAAAATTTTGTCAACTTGTACAAGGAGATCAGAAAAAATGATATACTCTGGCTGATTTAACTGCCCTGTTCAAGCTTTCTTGAATTTGTTAAAATTATAATAATGTTTGCGTAATATTTGTCGCAATAAAAAATGCATAGAAATAATCCCATTATTTTGAATATTCCGAATAAATCATGTGGATATGAAACCATTTGTTAGGCTTTAACGATCATATTTTGATAATTCCTTGCCTGTTAACAAGGAATACCAGTTCAATTTTATCGTCTTAAAGGGGCAAGATCAAAATTCAATGTCTGACTAAAAACTAAATTCACGTTGTTTTTATCATCAATCCCTCCTTCCCCTCAATAATAAATATGATGAATATCAAGAACTAATACTGTACTTATCACTTAATAATTTATATATTTCTTCTGTTTATTAAAAGAAAGAAACATTTTAATTTACCAATTTGGCATGGAATCTTAAATTACAATATGTAATTTTTGCGTTATTATCAATGTGGTAGAATTAAAAAAAACTTTTGGAGCTCTTTATTCTACGGAAGCCACAATAAAAGGTGAAGGTCAGCATTAGTAAAAACAGTTGACATGTTTGTGATCCTTCATTGGTATAGAATGAAAGTTTAATATCTAAAGTTTACAATATGATAAGCATTGCTTAAGTTGTATTTCAAGCATAAATTTTGCCAAGAAATGTGTATTGTATGTTGAGACAGGATTTTTGATATTTTCACTCGTGCTTCGCACTCATGAAAATATAAAAAAAAATTCCTGTCCCACTCGTGAAATAAATTCCATATCAACTACAAAACATTGAATATCCTCTATTTATTCCCCCCCCCCCTCAAAAAAAAAAATCATCAATCTCTTTTTGAAATAAAAATTATATGCTTGTAAAGTATACATAATAAATATTGTGATGAGGAAAATAATTAACGACATTGCGTCAATGTTGTATTAATAATATAAATGTACATATGTAGTATTAGGTTTATTCGTTGATCAATCCTAAGTAAAAAGATTATAAAAGTGAACTGGCTTTGTAAACTCTGTAAACTTTTTTTTTTGTTTTGTAAACTCTGGTTTGACGTTCTGTATGTGTGAAACATATAGGATCCGCCAAATAGACGTGAATCTCAAATAGGTCTCCGTGAATCTCCACAACTTGGACCCCCCCCCCCCCCCCGCAAAAAATATAAACAGTGAATCATGACAGAATATTAGATAAAATGTCAATATCAGCAGATCAGATTTAACGTCTTATTACTTAAAATGATGTGATATCATTTTTGCTTCACCATTCCTCATTATCGTGGACAATATGCATAAGTCACGAAGTTCAAAGGGGGGGGGGGGGGTAAACCAAGTAAAATATTTGACAAGTAAAAAGAAAAAAAAATAGATTTGATATTCCAACTACGAGTATTCGCCATTATTTTCGGGAGATATTTATTCAGGTAAAAAAAAATATGGAGGAAGGGGCACAAAGATACTCTTGACCGCCCCCTTTTCAAAAGTGGTGGTGTGGACATTAGCCCCTCTATTACTACGCCTATGATCTAACTGCTGATGTCTCACCATCCCCCGTCTTCAAAACATTTCTGAATCTCAGAAGTAACATATGTATAACACTGTAATCTATATATTATATGTTGCATAAACGATATGTTGCACTTATATTGTCTCTGATATTTAATTTTAGCGGTATAGAAATTGATATATGAAAGTGTATACCGGTAAGTCGTCCAAAACATATCGAAATAGTGTCATTCATCAGAAATAGTTGTCATAAATAAATTGCCAAAGTTTGAAGCAAGTATGTTTGGCAATATTTTTTAAGAAAAATATTGCGTCCTAATGCAACAATTTGAGGAGGAGTTCACGAAAATGTGTAAATGTGTTCGCCTTAGAGTTGCTATGATTATTGACAGCGAGATAGTTCAAGATTTAATCATAAGTAAACCCCAGAGCAAATTAAATTTTCAACCATTTATCAATTGTTCAAGTTAAATTTGACTGATAATTACTTGCTAAAAATTCAACGGCATTTAAAACTGCAGCCATCTTTATTCCTATATTGCTATTAAGTCTCGAAATAACAAGAAAACTGTCTCGTTATAACGACATAACTAACTCGTTATAACGACATAACTAACTCGTTATAACGAGATAACTAACTCGTTATAACGAGATACTAACTCGTTATAACGAGATAACTAACTCGTTATAACGAGATAACTAACTCGTTATAACGAGATACTAACTCGTTATAACGAGATAACTATCTCGTTCTAACGAGTTGATTATTTTTTATCTTGTCAAAAATGAGCCTATCCGGCTTTCGTAATTTCCTATTTTGCTCATATTAAATAGTTTGATTCACCAAAGTCTTTTTAGTGCTGTTTATTTATCTGCATCGCCCTTTGTTTTCATTTCAATGTTACCTGTAGCTGATCAATTAGTTGAATCTTATTGGACAACTACATGGAACTTATTGGGCGGAATACAGGACAAATTAAAAAGAAGAATTTACTAGACTAGATTTTTAAAAAATGACGTCACAAAGATCTTAGGACCAGGAATATAGAGTTCAATTCCCTGAAGTTAATTGGGATCAAGATCTAATCCTAAAATAAAGATACAAATATTAAGATCTCTTGGAATGACAATTCCTTTGCTTAACAAAATTCATATGGAATGGTATAAAGGGTCTATGGTTAACTCCTTCCTTATTAATTGTATTAGAAGCATACTTGTGAATTCAATAACAAAATGTTAGCGATGAAATTAGTCCCAACCACATGTCAATATGTTAAAAATAGAATTCAAGAGACTGATTGTCCTTAAAATAGCACTTTATACGAAAGGCCATATACGTCAAAATATCATTTAATGATGACATCATGTTTGACAACACACCTAAATTAATGTTTGATATACATTTTTCCTATTGAAAATAATGCCAAACTTGAGGTACTGTGAGCACTGGGCTCACAAAATGATACCCCCGTTCCCATTTGAGTATAATTGCAAAGTCATTTTTTGCTGTCGGAAACCCAAATGAATCTTCGATTAGAATGAAATATGGAGATAACGAACAGTATTCAAGCTCATAGTCCATTTAAACAATACAATTCGGGAGCAGAGCAAACACAGACCTCCAAAAACACCAGAGGTGGGATCGGGTGTCATGGAGGAGTAAGCATTCCATATCGACCGGTCACACTCGCCGTG